CGCGGATTCTGGGTTTATTCCCAGATCCGACGCCTCAAAGGGAGCCACGTCAATGATCCTCATCATTCACCGTCTTTGTGAAAAGCGGTCTCTTCACCATTTTCGACGAGAGAGGTGAATGCTCTGTGGAGAAATTCCAGTGCCTCCTCCTTATAAATGCCACTCCTTTCCCCTCATTCCAAACCACACCACCACTTTTATACTTCTTTCTCCCTCCTTTACTCCACCTTTTCAGCAAAAAATGCACGAAGAGGCTCTGAGAGTATGTAATTATTTTTTTTCTTTTGTGATTTTTTTAAATGGGTTTGAAATAATATGATTTCATTTCACATTTGTTGACCTTGTCGGCGCAGCGAGGAATCTCCAAGGCCAACGGCGAGCGGCGCAGCGCGGGGCTTGGCGGCGTTGACAAGGTGGAATAAGCAACGGAGCAGTCGTCGCCAAGAATCCCTTCTAGGGTGAACTGCGATGATGATTGCTAGGGCAACGACCGACGAGGTTGGTTCGGATTTCTGCCTGAATCTTGCTCGAGAGGTGGACCTGGGCAACGCCTCTTATCATGCCCCAGTTTTCTGCACTTCGAGCAACGCTTAGGACCTCGCCTGGAACATTGTGATTGATCCATCTCATTGTGAATCCTTTCGGTTCTAGGACGACCTTTGGTGCGCTTTAAGTCCAACGGTGGGATAATCAACTTCCCATTGTCTACAGGCCAATAAGCTTCATCTGGCAGGGGGATGAAACTGGACGAGTACGAGTTCTTGATCGCCTGTTCGATGAAGTGAGCACTCACCAGACTGTAAGAGCTGAGGGTTATTGACTTAGATACTGCCATTGCATGTGAACATGGGATTCTTGTGTTTTAATACTTTTGGCATGTACACTCCCCGGTGCAAGTTTCTACGTGTAGAGTAACGGATTGACGATTGTGCCCATGTCTACCTCCACCACAAATACCTGTTTGCACAGCAAAAAGACATTCATTGCGGTGAAAATAACAACTCTGTGCTTACTTTATTTCTCTTCCTTCTTCTGCATGTCCTGAAAGACATGAAGTGCTACTGCATGACCAACACGCTCCCTCCCTAAAGCTTGCGGAAGTCTCTTCACAAACCACTCGTTTCCAGTAGGACAGATACAGGCATTGCCCTAACGCCCTTGTATACTCCATTTATGCTCTCGCCATGGTTGGTAGTTGTAATGCCGAATCTAGACCCATTGACCATGTGGAATGTCCACATGTGCAGATCTTGACCTTCTGCCCATACTGCACCCGCCCGGTGTATCCGACGGATCGTCTTCATCTTCTGCTCGTACTTTTTTGGTTGATGTACAACCGCTTCAAGACCGCAGAATAGATAATTAAGACATGAGAAATTTCATATGTACAATAAACCATGAACAAGCACATAATTATATTAGTACCTGCACTCCACAACTGATCTCTTATGTCTTTCTTCTTCCCAAATTTGTGCTGAAAATTTGCAAGAAAGTGTCGAATACACTAGCGCCATGTCCACACCCATTTGTTGGGAAACCCATTCACGTCGTTCTTAATCCCGACATGTCGATCGGATATAATTGTAATACCCATTCTTTGTGTGATGTGGTCATGTAGCTGGTCAAAGAACCATGCCCAACTTAAGTTGTTCTCCCCTTCAACTAATGCAAACGCCAGGGGAAAAGAATTTAAGTTAGTATAAATATTACATAGTAAAACAATGAACTAGTACAATAGTGTTCAGACCGTAATCTACCTGTATAACTGGCATGTAGAAGGCAAACCCGTCAATGCATGGCTTGAAGGTCCAGAACAGACGATGAAACATCAACTCATTTTGTACTCGCACTTGATCCTCAGTGTATACATTGTTGTAACATGTCACGATAACAGTCCCAGGGTTGGACTCCTCCATTGCGGCCATTAATCTAGGGAGTAAAGCATACGAGTCGTCCCAATCACCATAGACCTCAGCGATGGTCTTCTGCTTCCCATGACACACCTTCTTATACCTGATCGTGTAGGAGTGTTGATCCTTCACCTCGGCCATGATAGCTTTGCTTTTGATATTTGGTTGTGCCTCGATCACGTGTTTAATGGTTCTTGCCACTTTCTTTGCTTTCAGTTGCCAGTGATCCTGGGAAAGTATGTTTGAGGAGCAGCTGTGGTTGTTCTCTACTGTACGAATGACCCAGGCACCCTATCTCTTCATATTTGCAGCCCACAGTTGCCACATACAAATCTTTCCAGCATTCTTGCAAATGACATGTAGTTGTTTGGTGTTAGAATATTTTACCTTCCATTCAAAATTGCGCCGCATGGCTTCTTCGGTAAAAGCATCTTGAACGTCGACTTTCGAAGTGAACACCATACGCACCTCCAAATTGGCAATCGGATTATACACAGGCATAGGGCGAAAGTCAGGGGCATCGTTCTGACTATATAAAAATTGAGATGGAACCTCTGTGTAGTAAGGCGTTGGTGCCTCACGGAACGCCACCTCGATGTCCTCGATATCGTTCGTATCTTCCTCCTCACTAACTGATCTCAAATCTTCATCAATTTCCTCGTCGCTAGAGGCGAATGGATAGCTCGGCTCAGGAGGATCATCGTTACCAGCATAACCAACATCGTCTTCTCGGTCATGCGAAGTACGCCCAGTTCGAAGGGTGTTCTTAATGTCAGCCCACTCTGACCCCCAAGCAGGCCATTTATCACCGTCGGGCCGAATGAATGGGTCAGTCTCAGCATGTTGCGTGTATTCTTCCCACCCAACACCTCCTGCATAACTACCTCCTCCGTAGTTGCTTGCACCTCCACCTCAGCCGTACCCTCCTGCAGAACTACCTCCTCCGTAGTTGCTTGAACTACCACCCCAGCTGTACCCTCCTGCAAAACCATCATCACAAGAATACTAGTGAGAGTGAGTTTCACCGACCGGCTCGGTCTCGATATACACCTCTGCACACCGCACCCGGTGTTAGATAGGAACTGTATCATCATGTTCACCGCGTCATCATCATTTATGACAACTTTTTCGTACATAACTCTGCTAGCACTCATGTTTGGATACTGATAAGTAATTTTACCAACTCTCGTCTGTCCGCCCATACAAATCTTTTCTGCACAAATGTTACGGAGTTCTTCCCACGTGAATCTCGACTCAAATTTTAGCAAAGTGGATTGGTCATCTTCATAATCGATCCCAATGTCCGAGTTTGTTACCTGACCACCCCACCGAATAGTAAGCCGAAACTTCTTAAATTTACTCATGTCTGCAACTTATAATCAGTAAATATTAGCTTAACTCGAATAAGATTAGTATAGTATAATTAGTACTTAGGGCTACGAAAATAATATCATCCAAACCCATAAACAACCGCAACTAACTAATCTAACATGAGAATACTAAACAAATTCATATAAATTCATAACTAACTAACATCAATCATACCATAATTAATCTAAATAAACTCACTAAATACATACATATAATTATTAACACATCTAAATCTAAACAATACAGATTAATAACATACCGAAAATGGTGAATTTGTAACCGTAGTTGTCAGAAGCGAGCTGGGAAGGGGTTTTTTGCGGATATGATGAGTTGAATGTGGAAGATTTTGAGGCAGGAAAGTGAGAGATGGGTTATTTATATGGAAATCAGATGGACTGATCACCGCAATTGACAACAACGGTGAAGCCATCACCGCAATTGACAACAGCGGTGAACTCTAGGTCGTTGTGACTTAATTTTCGACCTACCAGGCAGGGAAATCGTGGTAAATAATCACCATTTTGTAGAAAAGCGGTGAACTCATCACCGTTGTAGAGTACTGCGGTGATTTGTTCGCCGTTTTGTTCTAAAGCGGTGAACCCATCACCGTTTGTTCTACAGCGGTGATGGTATCACTGTTCTGGACAACTGCAGTGATTAACATCAATGTCTTGGACAACGACAGTGATGATCAAACTGCTGTACTTTGGGAAATACCTTTGTAACTACTGTATTTTGGTAAAAAATTTTAATAACTAGTGTATTCTTGGATTTTTTTCCCGGGCCATAAGTCCATCTTATTCATATTGTTATCGAAACCCACAAACCCAATTTCCCAGCTTATTTTCCTCCTCCATACATACGCAAAGTTTGAATAGAGAAACCAAACCCACCTAAATAGGAAAAATCAATCTATCCGAATAAGTTGATCTTGTGATATTCTTCTCTGCATCAGAACTCACTACATTCTTGAGTCTCAAAAGTGTTGGGGTGCGGCTCGGGTCTACTCGCGTTAGTATAACAACGCGGAGTCACCACAGAAGAGCCAGACGCGCCAGTGGCAACGCGGCTACACCTCCACCCGCGCGAGAGTCTCGCGTCAAGACACCGAACGACGATGTCTCAGTCGAGCGTTGACTAAGCCAAGGGAGGCCACAAACGGCACCGCATCCATCAGAGAGCAGTCATGTCACGGTCCAATCATAGTCCTAGGGATCATCATGAGTGAGCCCCCTAGTCCTAGGTAGAAGTATGGCATAAAGACTGACATGTCAGCAATCATGTCACCTTTGTAAACTCACCCACCACCTTGTAGCCTATAAATACGGCATTTACTCTGGTGGGTGAGGGGATCGCATTTTTCACTCTTTCACTCTACTACTACGAACTTTATCTCTCTAAAAGCTCTAGTGTCCCAAACATTTCTATTGTTTACTCTTCTCACCCTCCTTTCTTACGAGTCTACCTCCTACTCTCAGTTAGACTCAAACAAAAAGTGTTTCTTAGAATGCAAGGAATAAGGAACCCCGGAATTGCCTAACTTATTCCATGGAATGGAACAAAACAACCATTCTTACAAACACCAAAAGTCCAAAACGATCCAAGCTGCGCACGGATTCAGCTCTTTCACAAGCAACAAGCAGTGCCCGAGTTTTTGTAGACCCGTTTTGTAAAATGTTTTCGTAACTCACAAGGATTCATATCTGTTCCAGAATAACTTCACCCACCAGAAACCTTTAAGTCCGACGGCACTTCTTCGAAGTTAAGGACCTTGATTTTCCCATCTTCACAAATGCCGACCATCTACACAAACAAAAATGATCACGGGCAACTCAAATTTGTTTCTGTAACATGATTTGTACCTATCAAGACCAGATGAACCTCTTAGATCGAGGTCCAAGCAAAGCACCAGAGAGATCCTTCTCCAACTCCAAACTCGTGTGAAATTTCCCATCAAAGTCTCCATAGAATTCATCTAGATGGGAAGAAAGAACACATGTAACTAAGTCGTTTATGATAGTTGAGGAAGCAAAATTTGATTACTTTCACATTTACGGCATCTTTAGCTTCAAGTTTCTCGGCAGCAGATAGGGTCAGTAACCATTGGTTACTGACCTATCAGTATTAAATCCGGACCGTAGATCTAGGGATGGCATTATTATATTGTTGGGCTGCACGTGGAGTAAGGAGGGGCATTTTTGTCCGATTTTTGAAATTTGATTTCTTTCCTTTTTTTTATTTTTTCCAGCATTTATATGTGTTGTCTTTTAATGGAGGAAAGAGAAAAAGCAGACTTTTCTCTTCCTCTCTCTTTTCTCTTTCTTCCTTTCTCTTTTCCAAAATTCTTTTTCCAGATCTAAATCTCATTTCTTCTCTTGTTCTTCATTTTTTTCTCCAACAATCGATGAATAAATTGCAGCCTCCCACTTCAAATTCGGTGAGGCTCCAAATCCTTCTACTCTCAAGCTGCTCCTTCCTTCTGTTTTTTTCTTTTATCGGCCTCAAAATCGATGATGCTCCATATTGTCAAAGAGGGGACAGATCTAGGTGAGTTGAGTTTGCATCTTTTGTGTTTTAGTATTTGTTTGTGAATTAATTCCGATCTTCTTCCTCTTTTTCTTTCTTTTTGCATTCGGTGTTCTTCATTGCGGAGGAGTAAATGACAGGAGACAGAAGACAAGTTTTTTTTCCTCTTCCTCCTTCTGTTTCCCCTTCTTTGAGAATATATATTGAGATTACCACACTATACCATATGGTAATGTGTCGATACCATATGGTATTGACACATTACCATATGGTAATGTGTATATACCACACTATACCATATGGTAATGTGTCTATACCATATGGTAATGTGTATATACCATATGGTAAAGTGTCTATACCATATGGTAATGTGTCTATACCATATGGTAAAATGTATACCATATGGTAAAGTGTGGTAACGAAATGTATTTTTATGGATATCGTGTTTTACTATGGTCGTAAAAGGGTTGTAATTAGATTTATATTATTTTTATATGGTTTTAACTTCTCATACCATGTGGTATTGTATGGTAATTACAATTAATTTGTGTTCATTCGATTAACCATGTTCTACTATGTTGGCATTGTATGGTAGTTAGATTTACCATATGTTGATATTACCACACTATACCATATGGTATTGGGTGGTAACGAAATATATATTGATATTACCACACTATACCATATGGTATTGGGTGGTAACGTAATATATATTGATGTGACAAATTTTTTCATACCATATGGTATGGTCAATACCAGTCATTACCATATGGTATAGACTGGTAATAACTGACAAATTTTTTTATGTCTGAAAAATATCAAAGTGGATATCATTTTGAAGAGCACAATTAATCTGATCTAACTGTGCAAAAAAAATTAAATTCCGACTTAAAACGAGTGAGAAATCGTCCGTTAAAGATTAAGAGAAGGAAAATTAAAGGTTGTTTGAGGAGAGAGAAGGCGCTGATGTGATCTGGTCAGCGTCAGCGCGTCAGAGACATCATTAAATAGGGGGTGCAATTTTACCTTAGTGCCCTTCCGTATTTTTTTTAAATAAAAAGAAAAAGCTGACACGTGGGGGCCAGGGGAAGGGGTTACTGATGGTTACTGAGGTATTGGTTACTGAGGGGATCCGCTCCCAAGTTTCTCTGCCCATCGGCTCAAAATAGGGTGCATAACTATGAGTAACCAAATCGGGGACTCTTTTTTGAAGTGGCTGTAGATCTAAAGGTGGAGAATTAAAGAAATTTCAAATTTGTTTTTCCTAGTTTTCTTGATTGTATCATATCTTCTTCATTCTAACTCGGATTTCAATTTTTTTGCACAGATGGAACGAGTTTGTTGTGCTCTATAAAATTATATCCATTTTCAATATTTTTTTAGAAAAAAAATTTCATATCTCTCGTTACCAACTCCATACCATATGATATCTCCTTCGTTTTTTTTTTTTGCACAGAAGGAACGATTTAATCATGATCTATTGGATTTCAAATTTTTCTGGATGAAAAAATTTCATACCTCTCGTTACCAACTCCATATCATACTATGCCACCCTGGTATGGGGTGGTATTTTTCATACCATATGGTATGCTGTTATTTAATACCAGCCAATACCATATGGTATAGACTGGTAATAACTGGTAAATATTTTTTTTTCCAAAATTATCAAAGTGAATATCATTTTGAAGAGCACAATTAATCTAATCTAACTATGCAAAAAAATTAAATTCCGAGTTAAAACGAGTGAGAAATCGTCCGTTAAAAATTAAGGTAAGAAAATTTAAAGATTTTTCGAGGAGAGAAAAGGATGCGCTGATGTAGCGGATTCTTATTAGGTTATGCATGAGGTTATAGCACCACAAGATTACTCACTGGATATGCTCCTCTGCCCATCCATTCATTACAAAGGATCATTGACAGCCACACAACTGACAGAGTCCACCCCTTTAGCCTTGAACTTATCAATGTTGTTTTTGTAACTCGGGACATGTTGCTGGGAACAAACTCCCGTATATGCATCCTGCCTCATTAATTATTAATTAATTAATATATAAAAGTCTAGGTTGTGAGTTACTATTCATTAGTGGCTCTCACACTCCTCCAAGTGCAAGTGAGGAAGTTTCAAGTTGCTCCTTTTACCCCACTCTCCATTTTATAAACTTTGTGTTTAGCTATTTTTCACTAGGTTTACATCTATTCAACCCAAACACAAGGGTATCCTAACTTGAACCCAAGGCCACACTACGAGTTTTGTATCGGGACCGATTTCATCATCTTTAGTGTTTTTTCTTTTCTCCTTTTCCTTTTTTGTTGACCATCATCACAATTAAACCCAAAAAAGCCATTCGATTCGGTCAAAGCGACTTAAAACTGACTTTAGTATTTATGAATTCTCTTTTTTTCTTTTGGTTGGGAAGACAATTGAACTAAAATCAAAGGTATTAACGAGTGTTGTTTTATGAGCGAGTTTTATCCGCTTTTGTAGTTGGCAGGTAAATCCAAGTGTTAATTTGTTAAAAAATTGGTCAAAGCAAGTTGAACACGTTGTTGACCAGTTTTAGATCGAAAGCTAGTTTTGTACGCTTTAAAGTTTTTTTTATTTCTCATTTTTCGTTTATTGAGAATGATTATTGAACTCTGACCCATTGTTGATGAGTTTCGTATCGAAAGCAAGTTTTATCCGCTTTTGTAATTGACATGTTGGATAAATTGTGAATTTGTAAAACTGGGTCAACTCGGTCAAAGCGAGTTGAACGCAGTGTTGAGAGTTTAGGGTCGTGAGTGAGTTTTATCCACTTTAGTATTTTTTGTCTTTTTCCTTTTGGTTGAGAATGACAATTGAGTTCTAATACATGAGTATCCAACCTAATTCGACCCGACCAAAGAGACTTGAACCCGGTGTTTACAAGTTTTCGGGGGGAGCGAGTTTTATCTGTTTTTGTAATTGGCGGGTTGTGTTAGGTGTGAATTTACTCAAAACTCGGTTCAACCAGGTCAAAGTGAGTTGAACCTGGTGTTGACGACTTTTGAGTCGGTAGCGAGTTTTACCTTTAGTGTTTCTCTTTGCCTTTTCCTTTTGTTTGAGAAAGACAATTGAACCCAAATCCATGAGAATCCAACCTAATTTGACCTGAATCTTCTCAAACCTGCAATCAGTCCCAAAATTTCATAAAAGAGAACCATGATTACCTCAAACCCAAAAGAAAAAGAAAGCCAAAAGAGTACGACTATGTTTGGCCCAAATATTAGAAGTTCTATGTTTCAAAAGGTAAAGGCAAGCCAAACACCTCTAAAGTTCCGCTTTTTAAAAATCTGAAGTTTTTCATAACATAAAAGCAGAAGTTCCGATTTGAAAATACAATATTGTTCTTACCATATATTGTTCTTTTTCTAGAAAACATAATTTTATTTCATTTATATCATTATAAAAAATAAATTGAAAAATAATATTATTTAATATGAAATAAATATAACGTGACCAATTTTAAATAATTTTTTATTTTTAGAATTTGTATTCATATTTTATGATAAAATCTTTTTTATTCATTTTACATGACCTCTTATATTAGAAAGTAATTCTGATAGTTTTTCAGCTAAACACTCAACTGTTTTTTTTTTAAATCTTCTTGAAAAGATCTAGAGAATTTGTTTCATTCTACAAAAATTACAGCAGGATCATCAACCACTAGTCATACAAATTGAAACAATAGTGTCATGAGAGAATTTTAAACATATATAATCTATTCAACGACCCTTCTACCTTATGCAAGTTCATCGACTCTATGCTATTATAAATAACAAACCTATGAAAAAATGATTAAGAATGAAATAAGATTACTTTTTTTTTTGTTGAATCAGTTACTCTTTTTATTAATGGTAAAAAAAGAGACCATTTGCAAGGCACAAATGGCCAACCAATACAACGAAAAGGAAAGCTCGAGTTGAGCAGCCCTGAAAAGCAGAAAGAGGAAAAATAACTCTACCCCCTGCCACTCCCCCACAAAAACTACCAACAGCTACCAGTCCCCTACTCACTCCCCTGCAAACCAAGCAGCTGCAAACCTTCTAGTAGGAGTTCATTATCATTACAAATAATCCGCAGTTCTGCAGTAACTTCCCGAACTAAGTCCTCTATTGTTTTCCTAGCATTGCCATAAATCGTCGGCATCTTTCCTTCCAAATCCCAGCACAACATAAGCACCAGATCAAACTGGTCATTCTCCCCAACTTCGGCCTCCTGCAACTGGCGATACCTGCAGCAATAGTAGCTTTCCAGGAGCTACAACAGAACACCCCCATTTGCAGTGCCATAACAACTCGACGAGAAAAACCACATGCAAAAAATAAATGCTCTCTGGTTTCTACTTCATTACCACACAACACACACAAACCATCAGTCTGCTTGCCCCACTACATCAGCTTCTGTTTATTGACAATATAATCCAACATGATCATCCAGGCCAGGAAGCTGTTTCTGGGAACATAATTCTTCCCCCAAATAAGCTTTGCCCAGTCCACCACCTCATATTTGACTCGCAAGGTGTTCCAAACTACAGACACTTTGAATACAGGCATAGGTTTATTGTCCCAAAGAATTTGAGTATTACTTATCAAAAGTAAAGGTTGGATCAGAGGGCGCATCTTGAGAATACGCCTCCAAGGCTAGGAACTACTCTGACAGGCAGAAACAGTCCATATGCTTCGATCCTTTACCTTATACTGCTGAAACCAATCCACCCAGATAGCTCCACTTTTCATTAAGAATAGCCAGAGAAATCTGACTGAACAGACCTTATTCCAGGCACTTAGCTCACGTAAACCCAAACCTCCTTCCAGTCGAGGCCTTGCCATCCTCTCCCAACTCACTTTAGCACGTCCTTCTTCTCCCCCATGCCAGAGAAACCTTGAACATACCATTTGAACTTGTTTGATCACTTTTTTGAGCAAAATAAAGATCTGCATCCAATATTGAAGAGTTCCCATCAGCACTGACGTTACCAGTTGCAACCTTCCAGCATAACTAAGCTTCTTTGATCTCCAAGAGTTGATCTTTTTCGTAATTATGGCCACCAGCTTGTCAGTCTCACTAGAAGGTAACTTCCCTGAGATAAGAGGCATACCCAGACATCTAACAGGTAAATCTCCCTCTGCAAACCCTGAAAGTTGTAAGGCATTCTGCTTAAACTGCACAGACTTCCCTCCAAAATACACCTCACATTTCCCTGGATTTCACTTTAGGCCAGAAATTGTATGGAAAGCCTTCAATATCCCCTGAACCTTCTGAATAGCTTGACCTGAGCCCTCTGTGAAGATGAGAAGATCATCAGCAAAACACAAGTGGGTTAACCCCACTTTTTTGCACTGAGGATGGAAAGCCAGGGTCCCTTCTGCTGCAGCTCGATTCAAGAGAAGAGATACCCCTCCATTGCAATTGTAAACAGGTAAGGTGAGAGGGGATCCCCCTGCCTCACCCCCCTGTGTACCCCAAAGAACCCACACATGCCACCATTTATACAAATACTGAATTTTGTTGTTTTAACACAGAGCCTAATCCAGTAAATAAAACTCTGGGGGAATCCCATTACTTCCGTCATGAGAAACAAGTAACCCCAGTGAACTGAATCAAATGCTTTCATGAGGTCTACTTTAATAGCACAACGAGAAGACATATTACTTTTATGATAGCCACTCACTAGCTCTTGTGCAATTAAAATATTATCAATTATTCTCCTCCCTTCAATAAAAGCAGACTGATTTCCACTGACCACACTAGCTAAAACCTTCCTTAACCTGTTTGCTAGCAACTTGGCAATGATTTTGTAGAGGATATTCACACAGGAGATTGGTCTAAACTCTTTTAATTTACAAGCAGAAGTGACTTTTGGTATCAAGGACACAGCAGTGGAGTTAATACTACTAGGGAGTTTACTTGTAGTGAAGAACTCCAGGATCCCAGCAGTGACATCCTCTCCTATAATCCCCCATGTGGGCTTATAGAAGCCAGCCGAAAACCCATCAGGGCCAGGGGCTCGATGAGTATTCATGTTGAACACAACTCTTCTCACATCATCAGATGTGAAGCCTTGACACAAGCAGCCCTCTGCTCATCACTCAGTCTATGTGTTACCAGGCCCTCCAGATGTTGTCTGCAAAGTTTTACTTTCACTTTTGAGTAAACATTAAAATTATTACTCTTTATATATTTATTTTTCTGATATGCGAAGCGATAACGAGCGGGCTTTTGCTAGTCGTATTGAAACGCCACAAACAGAGATTAGAAATCCATTTCAAATTTTCAACCTGTTAAACTAAAGTGGTTCACTCGAAAACTAGCTATCATGAATCAACTTCGCAAAGAGCTCGAATCTCAATTTAATCAGACTCTGAGATTCAAGAAATGTAGCCCAGCATGAATAAAACATCTGCTAGGAACAGAAAAGCATATCTTTCTATTGTTCTTAAGTTCTAGGTAGAATAAATTAGTTCGTTTGGAAGAGACACCTTCGTCCCAGCTCCGTGCCTTCTGGAGGGCCACGTTAGGTGTCGCGGAGACCAAATCGGCCCCAACGACGACCTTGGCGTAGGACCAGACCTCAAAGATAATGCGATTTGGAGGCAGGCATCGACCGCGGACTAGAAAGCTGACGACTTTGCTCGTCTAGCTACTGCGAAAGCCATGGATTTACTTTAGACTGGGCAAGAGGACTGCTCGATTCTGTCTCTGATAAATTTTATGTGAAGTTATGAGGTTTTCGTTCTGCCAAGTACAGAGGAGTGACCAAACGTGTCGCAAGGGAAGTGTGGCCACTGGAGTGGCCACAGTCGAGACAATTCGCCTAGGAGGAGAATCATCCAAACCGGCTTTTACTTGAGATAGAATATCTTTTTTTGGGCTTAATATAGGCCCGTCAATATTGGCCCAAAAATCGTGATTTCTGAAATTGCTTGTTGGATAGATGGGATTCGGGTGATGAATTTGCGATCCAAATTCTAGCTAGTGGCTATAGTCTCCGGTAAACTTTTTTTTTTTTTTTCCAAGAAATGTCAAGAGAAAACCTATACAATCTACCCCGACCCTGCCCAACCCAAAACATCAGAGAAGCCAACCCACAAAATCAAAGGCGCAAAACTCTAAAGAGGAGAGTAACAGTGCTTTCTGCGCCACTCTATGGGCAGCACTGTTAGCAGTCCGAGGAACTGCCCTAAACTCTAAAGAAATAGAGACGGAAGAAAGGAGAAGGGAGCAATCCCGAAGCACCGGACCTCCAATGGAGTCAGAGAGAGCACCTTGACGAAGCTGCCGAATCACCACCTCTGAATCTCCTTCTATGATGACCCGAGGCAGCACTTTGGAGACTACAAGGGCGATGGCGTCCCTAGCTGCTAGGAGCTCCGCAAGATAGGGACCAGCAATACCGGGATGGAGAGACCCTAAAGCCAGAGCCACATGCCCATCTGAACTGCGCACCACAAGACCAGACGAGCACCCAGAAGGACGAACAGCAGCATCAAAGAGGAACTTCACAAAGTCAACAGGAGGAGGGGACCAAGACGAGAGGCGAGAACGGGAAGGCTGGGGCGGAGCAGGGACCAAAGGAAGGGAGGAAGACAGATCGCGAACTTGGAAAAAAACACTGACGAGCGAGAGGACCGGGCATGAGGCTGGACATGCTCAAAGACCACCTTATTTCTAGACTTCCAGATCCTCCATAATACACAAACGTATAGGAGAATGTGGGTTTGGGGGTGCTCAGAAAGCATAACATGTCGCCACCAGAGACTGAAATTCACAGTCGGGGCCGAGGAGAAGAAATCATTTAGACCCATGAGCGACCACAATCTTGTGGCCAAGGGGCATTTGAAGAACAGATGTTCAAGACTTTCCGGTCTTCTCCAGCAAACCGGGCAGCGAACTAGACAGTTTACACCTCTGGTACTTTGAAAACCATAAATTAATTAATTCTAAAAGTCAAAAATTAATTATGACCGTCAGAAGTTAATTTTTTCTATCCCATAATTTGATATATAAACCAACCATAAAGGTTGTAGAGCGCCATAAAAGGACCGCTTTAGTGACTCATTAATCACTTGTAACGGATCATTAAGGACCCAATAACATCAAATAAAATAACTGATGTATTAAAACCCAAATAAATGGACCAATGAGGCCATTAATTGGTTAAGAGCCAAAGTTAGCTTGCTAAGCTTCCGCCCACTTTTAAAAAAAAATTGCTTTAGTTAATCACTAAATTCTTGTAACGTTTAATCAAAAGGCCATTAAAACCCCAATAACATCAAATAATTGATGTAATAAAACCCAAATAGGGAATTAACGACACCAAGCGTCAAATCAGTCCGAAACGGACGAATGCAGCCATTAAATGACCATTTTAATGCTCACCGGACGAGCCGGCTCGGAACCCGGGGCTGGCCGGGTCGAACTCCGCCGCAATGAAATGGAAGTAGATGTTCTCCGGATAGGACGCGTGCTTGAGGACGGAGTGGACGGCAGCCATGGAGGCCCAGAGGTTCTTATTGCCCATACTCTGTTCTGGCCATTGGACTACAACACAATCACTACGAATCAAATAATAAACCGACACATTTGGACAAAATTCACAGATCTGGCCAAATTCATACGGCCTCCCCCATTGCTGAATATGAAAACCATTAGGGGTGCTAAAGTGTTCTTTTGGGGAAAATCTCAGGGCAGTTAGGAAGATGAGATAATATGGACCAACTCCAGTTTGTGCCCTGGAATTGAGCACTTATTTCCCGAACCGCCGCCAGCAAGGGATTTCCCAAGAATTTGACTGTGTTTTTGGAGAACAATCTCTCGAATGTACGGCATCGACGAATCGTAGCCGTCGACATCGCGAGACCGGATCAATTTACAAGAATTGAATAAATCAAGAAAAGAATCGAAACTATACGTATCTTTCGCCCTGACATGGACCACCGCGAACCCTTGGGGTTTCAGCGTCCGGGAAATCTCCGATGCGAAATCAAGCGGCCAGGACACCCCGTCGAATCTACCTCCGCCAGAGAAAACGAAGTCGAATGTGTCGTCGTCGAACGGAATGCGGTTCAACTTTGCGGCAATCACCAGCGGCTTGGACGCCTTCTTGTAAATTCCGACGGCATCGGAAACGCCAATCTCTTTGAGAGCGAAGACGTCCTGTGTTGGGAGGAAAAGTCTCCATCGGAATGGGAGATTGCCTCTCAACAACATCCTCCGGTAAACTTTGATATATAGGTAAGAGTATATGTAAAATTTTCATAAATTAAGAAAATAGACTAGACGCTAAGGTTGGTCCTTTAGAGGATTTGGCGGTCCCATAATTGGGTTGTTTTTTAGGGCAAGCAATTTGAATCCCAACGTTGATATGACAATTCCACAATAGTATCAGGAGTGGGTTAGTTTTCCTATTGACAGAGGAGCGTGAATGTCCATCCCACAAGCGAGTTTTTTGAGTGGCGGAACCCTAATTTAGTTATCTGCATGTGGGATGGGCTGGCAAAGAGTGGGTTTCGCTCAACAGGGGGAATGATTATCAAAAGCCAAGAAGGGATGGTCCTCTTGGCTAAAGGGTGCAATTCGCTGAGATTGATGATCCTAAGACAGTCGAGCTCCTGGTTCTCCGGGAGGTGTCCTGTGGCATCTGGAGAATGGTTTCCCAGAGATAAGGCTATAAGGCGAATGTCAAAGTGATCATTGAAAAAATTAACCAGTCGGATGCCTATGATAATCAGGTGGGGGTCATCCTTGAGGAAGTCTTGTGTTGTTTGGCGACTCACACTAGAATTACTTTGCGATTTGTAGGTCGGATAGTACTAGGGTAGCCCATTTGGTGACTAGAAAGGCACTCTCATTGTACCTGACTACATGTCGTTTCTTTGATTTTATGGTTTGGTTAAATTTCAGGATGTAATAATGATTTTTGTCAATCAATATGTATGATTATCTTTTGTAAAAAAGAAAACAAGACTAGTCGCTAAGGCCTTAGCTCCCTCCCCAATTGCCACGATTCAAATCACCTCCCCACATTTAGATTTCTACCTCCGCCAATAATCCCAAGTATCATGAATTTTAATAAGTCCTTTGTTTGTTGAGTGAAAAAAATGGAACACAAATTTGTGGGCAACACAAATCTGGACTTTTTATAGATTTAGATTTGTGAACCTCACGAATTTTGAACTATTTCAAATCCATAATGCAACAAATCGATCATAAATAAAAAAAATTAAACTTAATCCTTTTATTTTCAAATCTAACAAGAAAAGTATGAACTCTTTCAAATCCATACAACATTCCTCAATGTTTTATTCAAAGTTATAATATATGTATTCGTATTGAAAAAAAACTAGAAAGTGGTTGGTTGGGGACAATTATCCCATCTTCCAAGATTTAGAAAGTGGTTGGTTTCTTATTTTCAATCGATGTACACTCTAAACCCCCCTGTTTTTCTCAGATCGGAGCAATTCGATTATCAACCTTGACTATCGCCATGTAATCCCACATTTGAGATTCATTGTGATTAGAGCGACTCTCAGGAGGCGGCTTATGGCGTTATTGTGTTCAATAGCCATGGTTTTGGTCGGATCGAACGAGCTACTTTGATTGGTGTGGTTGCAAGAGAGATTTTGAGCTTACTGTTTTGGGGTCTAGAGGTTTCAGATCCATTGTTTGGGTTGGTTCATTCTGTGTGTTGTGCTGCCCTTGTTGTATATGTGCAGCACAGATTGTTTCAACTGTTTGCTTTTGGGATATGTTCTTGATTTTTTTTTCTGGTTTTCTTATTGGTTTCTAGAGCAATCCCTTCGTAAAAAAAAAAAAAACTCTAAATTCCGACCTCGCCACTACTGAGCAGTGCCGCATAGAGACCCCAAAGCCCTAGAATTTAAAGTACTTATTCCAAAGAGGCTAAACAAACCGAGTGTCTTAAACTCTACGATAAGCTGAATTGGGATCAAGAGTAAACGTCCACCACTAGGTCTGTTTATTATATGATTTGATTCCAACCACTAACAATCTTGTACAGTTATAAGAGATTCCCAAAAGATAGGAATATAAGTTCATTGAGTTGGATATTTGATTATGAATGACTAGTTGATAAGTTAACAATAAATACCCTTACTTTTGTTTCCATGGAATCTTTCCCACTCCTACTAACCCGTCAATTGAATCCATTCCGGTGAGATTTCGTCAAAATCGAATCCTGGTAAGAACCGTCCTAAAACCAAACCCTCCGAACTATAAACCCCAATACTCGGATCACAACTTTCTTTCAGATCACCATTCTCTCCCACACATCCCATTTCCTTATCCCCTGAATGGACGCCACCACCGCCGCCGCCATGGCCGACGTGGAACAACCCGTCGCCGGCGTCGAACCAGATCCCTTGAAACCCAAGAAGCTAATCACCCTCGTCCCTCTCATCTTCCTAATCTACTTCGAAGTCGCCGGTGGGCCCTACGGCGAGGAGCCGGCAGTCCAGGCCGCCGGCCCGTTCTACGCCCTCTTGGGCTTCCTCATCTTCCCCTTCATCTGGTCCATCCCGGAAGCGCTCATCACCGCCGAGCTCTCCACCGCCTTCCCCGGCAACGGCGGGTTCGTCCTCTGGGCCCAGCGGGCTTTCGGCCCATTCTGCGGATCCCTGATGGGCTCGTGGAAATTCCTCAGCGGCGTCATCAACGTCGCCGCCTTCCCCGTCCTCTGCATCGACTACGTTGTCAAGATCTTCCCCGTCCTCCAGTCGGGCTGGCCCCGCATCGTCGCCATCATCGCCGCGATCCTCGTCCTCGCGTTCATCAATTACCTGGGCCTCAACATCGTCGGGTACGCCGCGGTCGCCCTGGGCCTGATTTCGCTTTCCCCTTTTGTTCTGATGTGCCTGATCGCAATCCCTAAAATCCGGCCCAAGAGGTGGCTCTCAATGGGCCAGCCCGGAGTTAAAAAAGATTGGAATCTCTTCTTCAACACCCTGTTCTGGAACTTGAATTTCTGGGACTAACATCAGCACTCTCGCCGGAGAAGTTGACAAGCCGGGGAAGACTTTCCCGGTTGCTCTGCCGGTCGCCGTTGCGCTGACGTGTTTATCGTACCTAATCCCTCTCTTCGCCGTCATCGGGGCCGTTGATGTGCCCCAATTGGAATGGGGATCTGGGTTCCACGCCACAGCCGCGGAGATGATCGCGGGGAAATGGCTCAAGATCTGGCTCGAAATCGGCGCGGGATTGTCCGCAATCGGGCTGTACGAGGCCCAATTGAGCAGCTGCGCGTACCAGATCTTGGGGATGGCGGAATTGGGGATCCTCCCCAAATTCTTCGCCGCGAGATCGAAATGGTTCCACACGCCATGGATCGGGATCGCTGTCCCCACGGCGCTGACGCTCGGAGTGTCGTTCTTGCAGTTCACGGACATCATCTCCTCCGCGAATTTCATCTATAGCTTGAGCATGCTGCTGGAGTTCGCGGCGTTCTTGTGGCTGAGGCGTAAGATGCCCGAGCTGGAGCGCCCCTACAGGATCCCGATGAGGCTGCCGCTGCTGTGCGTGTTCTGCTTGATTCCGTGCGTGTTCTTGTTCATCTTGATTGTGATTGCTACCAAGACCGTGTTCATGGTGAGCGGGCTGATGACGGCGGGGTCGATTCTGTGGTTTCTGATGATGGCGCAGTTCAGAAAGCACAAGTACTGCGTCTTCGCCGTCGATGAAGGGCACCAGGCTAGTAATGACAATCAGCCTAATTCCTGAGTTCCATTTCTTTTTGGGTTTCGAAACGTTTTTCTTAATAATTCTTTTGAACAGAATAGATGCTCGATTCGATGTTGCTCTGCAGTTTAGTTGCAGACTTGCAGTAGGGCTAGGATGTGTAGTTTATGCCTTGTTTATGGTTGAATCTCTACTTTCCTACAATGTTATCTTATTGTATCTTCTTTATTTTTTTTATCACTTCATTAGTAAAGATTTTTCTTTGTCTATATATATGCCTGCAAAAACTCGTTGTTGTGAATGAGGGTAGTCCAGTTTGTCGAGTCGACTGTTGGTTGAGCACACAAAAGATTGTGTATTCGATAATGACATGGTCATACAATTAGTTCAAAATCAGCCAAACACACTAAGTTGAAAATATCGTTTCTTGTTTACATTCAGTTTCTTGACATGGTTAAATCGTCTAACTTTCATATTCAAAATTAAAAAAACAGTGTAGAAGGAATATTACATTCCGGATATCGTTTTGTGGTAACATTAAATTATGAGGATATTTGATTTGTTAGTTTTGGAGAACTTGTTTCATTGATGACAACTTTCTACGAATCGAAGATAAGGTTTTTACTTATATATTTACGGATTGTTGTTTCTCACAGTTGAAGTGTTATCTTGTTTGTTAGTTTTGCAGGATCTCGTTCCGTTGCTTTCGCCTTTCAATGGTTAGAAGTTAAGAATTTCGATCGTCTTATTGTGAGTGATATCCTTATAGATGCTTGTTTGTTGGCATTTCGTTCAACAAGATTCGTTGCATCAATGACATTGAGTATTAAAATGCTGTCCATATCATGACATAGAAAGTTTTTCTTATCGATAATTCGACTAGTGTACATATCTCTTTTTATTATAATTATTTTCATACCTTTCATTTCTATTTAGAATATTGTTCAAAAGAAATTACATAAAACTTGTTTTCTCTGCTCAACAAAGCGAAGAACAATGAGAACAAATAGATATTCCAATTCAAAATACTACTACATTAATTAGTTTCCTAACTGAACCCCAGATTCTAGGGTTTTGTTGTAAAGTAGTGGAGGACGTGAGGTAGAAGGGCTCTTCATGATTCCGCCAGTAATGGATCAAGGCGTCTTATGTGGGATGGCAAATTAGTCAGCTACTCACAAGCAATTTTATCTTTTATTCTCTAGTAACTAAGTTGATGAGTTTGAGCTCAATATTGTTCAACTCGTAAGGCTCGCTAGTTATTTAACTCGATGACTTGTTGAATTCAAATTGCACGTTAGCTCATTTTAAGCTGATAAGTTGGTTTGAAAGTCTGACTGGTGAGCTCATTTGTGAATCGATGCATAACTTATAAGTTGACTTGTTAATAATTAATAAGTATTTTTTCGAGTTGTAGTATCACTTGAGTAGAGCCCAATCTAAGTGCAAAGCTCCATCAATCATCAACATTAGTTTTCCGTGGTGTGTTACATAGGCTATCCACAAAGATTGGGACTTTTTCAAGAAAAAGCATTGTTTTTAAAAAAAAAATCAAAAATTGCACCCAACCTAAAAAATTTCCAATAATAGCACCTAACTCAAAAATATTCGAAAAATAGCACCCTTTCATGAAAATCGCCACCCAGGGGCGCGGTTTACGACGAAAACCGTACTGAGAGGGGGCGGTTTTGCTGACTGCGTGGGGTCGGGGCGTTTTGGTTGAAAACAGCACCTCCACCTGGCAGTTTGTATTATATATTTTTTTTTCCAAATAAATATTATAAGTGGTCTTCGCACAATTGGTTTAGCTGTTTATTGTGAGCAAGTAGTCCCAAGCTCGAATCCCCATCATCTTCTATTAAGTTTTTTTATTTAGTAGAGATTAAAAAAAGTCCCATGTTATGGGATGGTGGTTCGAACCCAGATATAATATATAGTTAACTAAATTTAGCACAACATCTACACCACCAAACTACAACTCTTCTTTTAAAATAATAATAATAATATATTGACAAAGTTTTATTCCTTGAATGCTAAAAATACTCAATATCTTTGAAAAACCATAACTTTGTGCTCCAAAATCCGAACGTCATGAATTTTTTCCCCCATTTTGCATAACTTTTTAAGGACTACAATTTTTACTAGGAATGAATTTCAAAACATGAATTATTTTTTGATCTACCGGGTTTTGGGAATAACTTACCTTCCCATTATACAAACTCACGTACATTCCGAAATTATGTATATGATAAAAGTTGTAGTCCTTAAAAACTTATGCGAAATGAAAAAACAATTCATGACATTCGGATTTTGGAGCACACAGTTATGGCTGTCCAAAGTTTGACGAAATCGGAAAAAAGCTCGTTCGGGGTAGCAAACGACATTTATGGCTGTCCAAAGTTTGACGAAATCGGAAAAAAGCTCATTCGGAACACAAAGTTATGGCTGTCAATATATTATTGTTTCAAAAGAAGAGTTGTAGTTTGGTGGTGTTGACGTCGTGCTAAATTTAGTTAACTATTTATTATATTTGGGTTCGAAGCACCATTTCCACATATGTGCTTTTTTTTAATCTCTATTAAATAAAAAGATTAAATATGGGATGATGGGGTGCGGTTTGCAACCAAATCACCCCGCCCCACGCGGTCAGCAAAACCACCCCTACCAGTGCAGTTTTCGTTGAAAACCGCGCCCCGGTTTACTGGTTTTATGAAATGGTGCTATTTTTGAAAATTTTCAGGGTTGGGTGCTATTTTTGAAAAAAAAAATAAAGAGCGCTATTTCTAAAAAAAATCCCCAAAGCCGTATAACATTAGACATTAGCTACAATGGAATATGCAGCGGAGAAGAGATGCAGCGGACTTCTCTTTTCTTTCTTACTAGCTTATAACCCGGCCCTTGGCCGGATAACAAAGTTTAAATAATAAGAGTTAATACTTTATCATCATTTTGAAAATCATATTTAAAATCATGGCCAGTTCTATCGTACCCCGGGTAAATTCCGGGGTATGGCGTACCTTGATGATCTTAACCGTACGTGTGATCTCGACGGCTGAGATTAAATTTTATTAAATGATTTGTTTTTCGGAATTTATATTAAATAAAATTACAGATCAACTCATAGAATTAGTTTTTCTTTCATTTTAGTCCTCTATGTCCGTGGGTTGGTTAGTTTGATTTGGGTTGGGTTTTTTCAATATTTTGATTGAACCCAAATTCAACCACCCCAAAATATAAAGGGTACCTACCCCATCCAACCTACCACCACTTCGTTCCCCCCATCCCGACCCTCTCTTCTCCGCTGCTACACGCCGATACCTTAATCCCCTATCCTCTTCCCCTGTTCCTCCGTCCTCCGCCGCTAGACGCCGCTAGCCCTCTCCCTACCCTTTCTAATCTCCCTTGTCGGCCCCAAATTCATCGCTCACCAACAACTTAGATTCTCCTTGCGGAAGGGATTTCGAATCCTTGCAACCAGAAGAAGAAGGAAGGGTTCTCCTCTGCTCGCTTTTTCTGGCGATTGGCGTTATGGCTTCTCGAACGAGTTGCAGAGACCTTCGTCGAAAGAAAAAGGGGTGACCTCCCCACCGGAGAGTCCTCCCACGACGATACAAATGCTCTTTGATGACTCCGACGCCATTAGCCTCGCTTCCAAGTTCCGTCACTAACAGATCAACGGCGGCGCCTCAATGTTCTATCATTGATGATGTCAAACCTTCCTGGGTCAAGTTCTGCGAATTTTGTTTATCGCACATATTTGTGTTAAAACTAGATATGCCATACCCTCAAAATCAATAATAGGACCATGTTGTATCGGTATGCTATTATGGAAATTTTGGGGATTTATGTGGAGCAGAAAACTGAAGTTTGAATTTGAAAAGAAAAGGAACTGAAATTTGAATTACGCCGAGGAAGAAGACGATCGAAGTGAAGCTTCTGATCGTTTCTCAACCACTCACGAGATGGAATGTGGGCTAACATCATCACACTTATAGTTTCCATAAACTTAGCATACAAAACAAGAAACGTTGGCAAACTTAGTGGTTAAGCTAGTAGTTTACTATTAAGTTTGCTAGAATAGGTGTAGGGTTCGAATACTAGTTTCAACCATTATATTTAGTTTTTTATAATTTCATTTGAAATCACTTGTTCATAGTTGATTACCCTCTCCTTGCTAGTCAAGTTTTTGGAAAAAATTTCATTTTTCTATTTAGAATTTTATTTTACAACTATTCATAAATAGTAATTCTACACAACATGTCATTTTTGTCACACACCACCGTTGTGCCCACCTCCACCTTGCAACTTTGCGTTAACCCAAAACTAGTACAAAGGACTAGTACATCCCAAAACAAACCTTTGCTAAACCACGTGAAAGGGCATTTGTAGTGCAGTCTAGTGACTAAGTTTGAAATTCTGCCTTGACAAACTTATAAACGTGAAAGCTCCATGTTCCGAATGGTTCAATATTCTGCCTTGACACTGATGCGTGTAAAATGGATTGGTTGTTATTATAAAAGAGATGCAGTGTTGCTTTAAAAAAATTTGTAGCGTAAACGATTTCATATACTAAGACGCATGTAACATAGTATATAACATTATAGTTGAAAAGTGAGACTTGACATCGATAGAAGTTTTACATTGATAGAAGTTTGTCGGTTGAGGTAGAATGTCTTCTTCCTTATAAATATATTCATATCAGGCACTTTCATGACATCGATACCTATGGCCAAGTCACGATGAGGTTATGATAGATCAAGGAAGATCTTATGAGATTTTTGTCGGAGATGATCCTATCACGTGGAACAATTGTTCTTTGTCATTCTAGATGATCAGTGAAATTCGCTAGACAGCTAAAGTACCATAGGTTGTTTTGAGATCCTAATTATTTGTTCACTATCGATTCGGATTATTTGTTGTCTAAATAATCCGATCGATTGATTAAAAAGGCCTCGTATTTTTTGGCCATTAAAAAGGCCTCATGTGAATTCGAACATGCCTTTTGTACCAGGCCCAATAAGGCCCTTAGCAATAGCAGATCGGCGGCACAACGCCTTTTCGCATTATTTGTATTCTCCCAAGTCCCAACTCCCAACACAGATCAATTATGGCAAAGTTGAACAACTGAAAGACTAGCCTACAAAATCAAGCAATCGATCCATATCCCTGCTTTTTCTTCCCCCCATGCGCAGGCTTCTCTGTTTTCCTTGAGAAAGAAAACTTAATCGCCATTCTCGTCCTTCCTTCGCTTCCGCCTCCCTTGCATGAAAGCCTCCCCCTCCCCCTCCGCCTCCGCCTCCGCCAGTCAATCCAGCGCTGGTCGGCGGTCGCTCAATACCGGTCTCCACCTCCGAGCCACCATCGTCGCCTGCCACCGCCGCCGCTGATTCGCTCGAGGGGTTGTGGGAAGAAGAGCGGCAGAAAGTTCCCAGGACGAAAGGCAGGAGAAAGTTAGGGAGAGAGCAGCAAGGGTAGGGTTGTCGTCTGTTGACAGAAGAGCAGGCGAAGGAAAATCCTGTGGAAAAAAGGAATTCCAATCGGCGTCTTCCTTCCTTCCCGGACTAACAACGAGTTGCCGCCGACCACGTTTCAACCGCCGCAGGTACATTTTTCTAAATGCTTTTTAACTATTTGGTACGGTGGATTAGAGTATCTGACGTAGTGTGTTGTTATACTCGTAGGTGTAATTTTCTTACAATGGATCGTGTATCTCAATGGTACCCGTAAGTATTGTTTACCAACTAATCCTTAGACTGTCTACTCCGCTTCCTTTTCGTATGGTCAGACATTAGTAACGGTTTTATTTGTAGGGATTTTATGGTTGAGCCTGGTTTCGTTGCAAAGCTGCG